TAGGACCAGATTCACCCTTTGGGTTTTGCATCTAGTTGGGACGAGAAGACTATGTGAGCTGTGTCATTTTTATAGGTCACTTGAAAACTCCATGAAGTATCCATGATAGGTGCTTAAACATGGGATAACTCTGGAATTTCCAAGAGATCCATCTCCCATGACTTTCATAGAATCATAGAATCATAGAATAATAGGACTGGAAGGGACCTCAAGAGGTCATCGAGTCCAGCCCCCCGCCCTCAAGGCAGGACCAAGCTCCACCTACACCATCCCTGACAGATGTCTATCTAACCTGTTCTTAAATATCTCCAGAGAGGGAGATTCCACCACCTCCCTTGGCAATTTATTCCAATATTTGACCACCCTGACAGTTAGGAATGTTTTCCTAATGTCCAATCTAAACCTCCCCTGCTGCACTTTAAGCCCATTACTCCATGTCCTGTCCTCAGAAACCAAGAGGAACAAATTTTCGCCTTCCTCCTTGTGACACCCTTTTAGATATTTGAAAACCACTATCATGTCCCCCCTTAATCTTCTTTTTTCCAAACTAAACAAGCCCAGTTCATGAAGCCTGGCTTCATAGGCTTCTCTAGACCTTTAATCATTCTTGTCACTCTTCTCTGTACCCTTTCCAATTTCTCCACATCTTTCTTGAAATGTGGCGCCCAGAACTGGACACAGTACTCCAGCTGAGGCCTAACTAGTGCAGAATAGAGCGGCAGAATGACTTCACGAGTTTTGCTTACAACACACCTGTTGATACAACCTAGAATCATATTTGCTTTTTTGGCAACAGCATCACACTGTTGACTCATATTCAACTTGTGGTCCACTATGACCCCTAGATCCCTTTCCGCCATGCTCCTTCCTAGACAGTCGCTTCCCATCTTGTATGTATGGAACTGATTGTTCCTTCCTAAGTGGAGCACTCTGCATTTCTCCTTATTAAACCTCATCCTGTTTACCTCTGACCATTTCTCTAACTTGCTAAGGTCATTTTGAATTATGTCCCTATCCTCCAAAGAAGTTGCAACCCCACCCAGTTTGGTATCATCTGCAATAAGTTTGGTATCATCTTTCAATAAGGTTGTGCCCAAGAGATCCATCTCCCATGACTTTCAATAAGGTTGTGGTCCTAGCTGCCCCTTTGTGCCACTGAAAAATCTCTTCTTGAGAGATTAGAACATTTTGGTCAACTTCTTTTGCAGAAATGAATCGAGTCTTTTAGTTTTGTTTGGTGTCCTATCTTTAACTGCTCACAATGTCGATACTTTAGAAAAAATGCAAAGTCGGTATAACTGACAATTATGCCACAGCATGCCAACACAATACATTTCTTCCTAAGCACAGACATTTGGTAATTGGTTTGTTTATCCATCTATAATGGGGCTAATACTGATCTATTAGGCTCAGGGAGGGGGGAAGGTGGGTGGGAGGGGGAGGAGAGGGGGAGAGAGAGAGAGAGAATCATGAGCTTTTGTGGGCACAACCCACTTCTTCAGATGAGTGAAGCAAGTGTACCTAATAGGGTTGCTATAAGGATTAATAAGTTAATGTTATTAAAATACTTTGAAAATGTAAAGAACTAAATAAGGTGATAGTTATACTTAGTGAAAAAGATCCCAATGCCAATAAATGACTTATTTAGAATGAAATACCATTTGTACAGATTATTGTTCTGCTTACACTTAAAGGGGAATTATAAAACATAATTTCTGTACATTGCATTTTATCCGGGATTAGTGGAACCTTGGAAAAAACTAAGAGACTAATGTTTACACTTTTAGCCCTTCCCTTTAAGCGCTGGACATTAGTGTTTAGGAAATTCTAAAGCATGAAAATTGAATAATGAAAAGACAAAAGGTGAAAGGTTGTACATTTATTTTTCTCCCTGCAGTGATCACAGGAGCAGGAGATGGAATTGGAAAAGCATATTCCTTTGAGGTAAGAAAATCACTTATAAAATCAAAGTGGAAATATTAATGAATTGGAAACTTTTTCTCATCTAATATTCTCTGGAACTTTTAGTTAACTAAAAGTTTACTAGAGTTAAGAGCTAACATTATACATGCTTAAGAACCTGATCTTTCTTCCATTTATGTACATAATTTATGTTATCATTTAGTGAATTGGATATGACATTCACTTTCAAAATTAGAAGAATTACATGAAATATCCTCAACTGCTTCCATAGTGCCAATAAACTCACAGAGAGTAATGACTTATCCTAAGGATTTCATGCATTCTGTAATAATTATATAGTATAAACTTTAAAGAGACACTATAATCTAAAAGTGCATCTACACAGCTGGGATAAAGCCGAAATAAGATACGCAATTGAGCTATTTCAATTGTGTAGCTTAAGTCAAAATAGCTTATTTTGGCTTTTGGTGCTGTCTACACAGCAGGAAGTCCGAGAAAGATCACTCTACCTCCAACTTCCCTGAGGGTATGTCTACACTGCATTCCTCTTTCAAGAGGGGAATGCAAATGCAGCCAAGCAAAATTGCAAATAAAACGTGGATTTGAATTTCCTGTGCTTCATTTGCATAATTGTGTCCGGCTGCTTTTTTGAACTACCCGATTTCAAAAAAATAAATGCTGTCTAGACGCGGTTATTTAGAAAGAAAACCCTTTTTTCGAAATTACCCTTAAACCTCATTTTATAAGGAGTAAAGGTAATTTCGAAAGAAGGGTTTTCTTTCAAAATAACCGTGTCTAGACGGTTTTTCTTTTTTTGAAATAGGGTATTTCAAAATAGCGCCTGGATGCAATTATGCAAATGAAGTACGGGAAATTCAAATCACGCTTCATTTGCAATTTTGCTTGGCTGCATTTGCATTCCTCTCTCAAAAGAGGAATGCAGTGTAAACATTCGCTCACTTCTAGTAAAATGAGGGTTAGGGGTAAGAAGTCCTCCAGCTTGACTTTATTTTGGCATTACGTTGAAATAACTGCTTGCAAAAATTGTCATTACGTTGAAATAACTGCTTGCAGAGAGACGCAAACTGTGTTATTTCAGAATAACATTAGTTATTCCAAAATAACGCTGCTATATAGACATAGCCTAGTAGTATTGAATTTATCTTAAAATGCAAGTGTTCAATTTGCTGACATAAATATATGAATGCTAGTGAGATTTTCTTGCTTTGCCGATGGCTGATACAAACTTTATTCAGAGGCAAGATTAAGGCTAACACTTTCAAATTAAACTTAAAAAATATCAAATGGTCTGGTAGCACTTTATAGACTAACAAAACATGTAGATGGTATCGTGAGCTTTTGTGAGCACAACCCATTTCTTCAGATACTCCGGTCATCTGAAGAAGTGGGCTGTTCCCATGAAAGCTCATGATACCATCTACATGTTTTGTTAGTCTATAAAGTGCTACCAGACCATTTGATATTTTTTAAGTTTAATTTGAAAGTGTTAGCCTTAATCTGTATGCCTAGATTTTCTCAGTTTTAAGACTGGGATAATAATATCTACCTAATTCCCAGAGATGAGTATTTAATATCATTGCCAACTCTAACAATTTTATAAGTTCCATGCTGTTTACTTAGGCTATCTCTACACTACAGAGTTTATACGGAAAAATGGCTGTTTTTCCGCAAAAACTTGTGGAGCATCCACACCTCAAGTGCATTTTTGCACAAGTAAATTGAAAGATCAGAGAGGTTTTTGCGCAATTGGAAATCCTCATTCTACAAGGGAGAACACCTTTTTGCGCAAGAGCTCTTGTGCAAAAAGGCATGTGTGGACGGGAAAGAGGGGGTTTTTGTGCAAGAAGAGGGAAGAGGAAAAAGCACAAGTGTCCTGGTGGCCATTCTGTCCATATCAATCACTGCTTCCTTGCAAGAGAGCTTCCAGGCAGACTAGATGCCTGCTTGCAAAAAATGCATCACTTTTTCGATGTGCTTTTGCAATGTGGATGCTCTCTTGTGCAAGAAGTTTTTTCAGACGATATCTTCCGAAAAAAGCTTCTTGCACAAGAAGTCTACAGTGTAGACATAGCTTTACAGTCCCTGCTCCTGGTAACAAGTGATTATAGAAGAAAGTCAGTTTTAATTTAAAAAAGATTTCCAGACCTCATGATTGTAAAGAAAAAGCTTGAAAATGTTATCTGACTTACATATATATCTTGGTTTCTGTTATTTCTTTTTTTTCCACTCTAGCACATCTGATGAAGTGGGTTTTATCCATGAAAGCTCATGATACTATATAAATTTTTTTTTAGTTTGTAGGATGTCACAGGACTACTCGATGTTTTGAACATTTAGGCTGCATCTAGACTGGCAAGATTTTGCGCAAAAGCAGATGCTTTTGCGCAAAATCTTGCTGCCTGTCTACACTGGCCGTGAGTATTTGTGCAAGAACACTGACTTTGTACTGTACAAAATCAGTGGTTCTTGCGCAAATACTCCAATGCTCCCACTCAGGGATAAGCCCTCTTGCGCAAGAGGGCCAGTGTAGACAGCCAAGTTAATTTCTTGCGCAAGAAAGCCCAATGGCTAAAATGGCCATCGGAGCTTTCTTGCGCAAGAGAGTGTCCACACTGGCATGGATGCTTTTGAGCAAAAGATGTCTTTTGCATTAAAGCATCCATACTCTGGCATGGATGCTTTTGAGCAAAAGATGTCTTTTGCATTAAAGCATCCGTACTGGTATAGATGCTCTCTTGTGCAAATACTTTTAACAGAAATTTTTTTCTGTTAAAATTATTTGCGCAAAATCATGCCAGTCTAGACACAGCCTTAGGCTATGTCTAGACTGCAAGCCTCTTTCGAAAAAGAGCGTCTAGACTGCAAGCAGTACTTTTGAAAAAGCAAGCCGCTTTTTCGAAAGAAAGCAGCGAGTGAGTCTGGATGCTCTCTTTCTAAAAAGCCCTGTTGGCATTCAAGAATGCCTTTTTTCGAAAGAGCACTTTAAAAAAAAGGCGTTCTTCCTCGTGAAATGAGGTTTACCGCCGTCGAAAGAAAAGCCGCGTTCTTTCGATTTAATTTCGAAAGAACGTGGCTGCAGTCTAGACACAGGTGATGTTTTTTCGAAAAAAGGCTACTTTTTTCGGAAAAAACCCTGAGTCTGGACACAGCCTAAGTGTTGTTAGTATTGTATTTTGTTAGAACATAAAAAGCATAAAACAACACTGCCTCGTACTTATAGTTTAATATTCATTGTTTGTTTGTTTATTATTGTGTCCAAAGCAGCCTCCATGATCCATGAATCAGACCCTTCCCATGCAGAAGACTGGGTCAGTTTCATTATCTGCAGCATTCCTCCTTCCCTTCTCCTTGGTCCAGTTCTCAGTGAATGGCCAGGTTGTGGGGAATGGATCAGCAGGGGAAGAACGTGCAAAATAGGAGAAATTAGCATGCATGCCCATCTACGTCTTCAAATCCACATTTATGAGTGCAATTACCTATGTGTGGAACTTGGAACAGTGCATACAAATGAGTGTTTGGATGATGTTTAACTAATTTGTTGTTACAAATGCTGTGTTGCCCACACAAATGTGGGTTTTGTCTGCATACAAAGGTGCAACTGCAAACGTTAGGTGTCAGTGCACAGTGGCTGCTTTGTGGTACTTGAGCAATGCAAAGCAACTGAAAACGCAGCTTAACAACACATTTTATGTTTGCTTTGTGACACTGGAAAGGTGCAAAAAAACTCGAGTTGCTTTTGGAAAAATCTGGCTGTTACTGACCAGTTATTGTATGGAACATCTGTTAATTATTTTGGCTTTTGAGTATGAGTATGAGGCAGATTCTGCCATTGTTATTAATGATGAGTAGACCCTTACTTGACAAGTAGCCTCATTGACTTCAACTCAGCTCAGCTAAAGTACAGGGCAGGTGCCAGGGTTAGGCTTCTGTGTTATTAATGATGAGTAGACCCTTACTCGACAAGTAGCCTTATTGACTTCAACTCTGCTCTGCTAATGTACAGGGCAGGTGCCAGGGTTAGGCCTCTGGGCTCATTGCTCATCATCTTTACTTGGCTGGCACAGGATTTTCTGAGGCTATCAGTATTTCCAATGTCTTGGGCTGATGTTCAGAGACAGGTCTCTGTGACAATGCTGGCTGAGTTCTTCAAGCTGCTAGTCTCATATCAAGGCAGAGAAGTCCTAAAAGGTTTCTTAGTTCTCACTTGCTGGCTGATTTCACAGATCAGATATTTAGGAGGTCTCTGGTTCTGGATGTTTAGTGCCTGGGGCTGATCTCAAGGCACAGTCTTCTTCTGTGAGAATTGCTGGCTCAGCAGCCACAGCTTGCTTGGGTGATGGCCAATCTGAGACCTCTGTGAAATTACTACACCACACTTTTAGCATGTCATGGCACTGGCCTTTGGTTGTTTACAGGTTGACATTTCTATCTTTCTGACATGATGCCAAGGGACAGACTTCTGTGAGTATTAGTGGCTTAGCACCTCTTCTTTTCTCAGCTAATATGAAGACTGGTATGTATGTACAGCGTATGGCTTAGCATTTCTAAATACCCTTAACTTGCTGTAGTGAAGTGAAAGCACAGATCTCTGGGAGGTTGCTGGCTCAGCTGAATTGGGCAATTTTTGACAACAACTTTCTTTGTTTATTAAGAGCTTTGTATCTTTAAACATTTAAGGCCGGCTTGCTTAAATCAGGGTTTCATTAGATGATTTTTGAGAGCAAGGAATGTACTGTAATATGATATAGGCTTTGGTATTTAGGAAAATCTTTGGATGAATTGTTAACATTTAGAATGTTATTTACAGTATGGTGATCACTGTGGCCTGAGTTACCCAATTTCAGTTGATTCACTATCTTGCACTGTTGCAAGAATCTCCCATTAAATCCTTCTGCAGACTCAAATATTTCAGTCTTGTTGTAGCAATAGTGCCAGAGGTAGCATTTTAAGCAGATTGGCAGAATCTGTTTCTCTTTTTGGTGAGCTTCATCTTTGCAGTCCCACTCTCCCTTCCTACTTCTTCTGGGCCAAGTCATTGTTGAGAGGTTTGAGTCAAACAGGTCTCACAGGTTTGAACTTCAAGAGACAAAAAGAAAAAGAAAAAGTTTGGGGTGCCAGCCCTGTCAAAAATCCCACTGTACAGACCTTAGAGGAAAAATAAATCTCAGATTTTACAAACCTCTAGAAATCTAGAACAACATATATATACATCATAGTCCCATATGATAAGTTCCTATGATCTGTCTGAATATTACCCGTTTGTGTACTTAACTGCAGTAATAGCATGCACAAATATGTCCCAAAATCTGTGTAGCAGTTTTGCATGTGGCTCAAGCTATTTGAAAACTTGGCTCATTCTGGAAGCTACCAAAATGCAGTAGAAGGCATAGTGTGTTGCTGTGGGTTTTTTTTTTACTGGTTTGATGTGTGTGAAAGCCTTTTGTTAGAGATAATGCAGATAGGGTTTCCAGGTGTCTGGTTTTCACCCGGACAGTTTGGTATTTTGGCCTTCTGTCTGGTAAAAAAACTCAGAATATCGGACATGTATTTTCCTCTGTTTTCCTTGGATGGAAGGCCAGTGATGTCTGCAAGGGTGGAGGGCAGTGAAACTCAGAATATCGGACATGTATTTTCTTCTGTTTTCCTTGGATAGAAGGCCAGTGATGTCTGCAAGGGTGGGGGGCAGTAAGCAGCACGGTAATTTAAAGGCGCAATGGCCTTTTTTTCTCTCAAAAAGATTGCCGGCAGCATCTGTGAGAGCAGTGGGAGTGAGGACCTTGGTACTTTAAAGGCACAGCAACCTTTTTTTTTTTTTTTGCTTAACGACTTTGGTCTCCCCCTTTATGTTTCTCAACAGAATTTTTTTTCCCGTGTTGGTTTTTTGTTTTTTTGTTTTTGGAGGGGAAGTGTTCGGTATTTTTTTGTTAAACCATCTGGCAACCCTAAATGCAAAGTAGGCTACAATGTTTGCTTAAGCCTCAGTTCTGCATGAGCCTTCTGCTAACCTATTTTTCAACTTGCTTACACTTGTCACTGTTGGAAATAGTAATGATGATCTTGCCTTTTGGAGATCCCAGAAGTTCATGAGCATTTAAATCCTTTACCACTGGGAGTCAGGATTTCCTAATACAAACAGCTTTATGTTGCTGGGAGCTGGTGCTTGCTCTCACATGTGGTGGGAAATTCTGTTCTGTTCTCTGCATCATAGGCCTTGTCTGTTGTAGGAAAATGCATTATCTTAGAAGGTGCTTTAAATAAGATGTTTTTACTAACAGAATGTTAAATGTGATGTTGCCCTTAAAAATGAATTTTCAGTATCAACAAAGTCACAGTATAAAAACCCACAGAGTGCTATTTTCTAACTCTCTATTTTGCATTTAAGAATGGCTATAATCTAATCACATTTCCATTTAGCTGGCTATAGAGAAGCTAATGTGATGCCTATGCTTCCATCATGATCCCTGTTTATGAGGGTTTTACTACCTGGCCATAAACATTTATACTTGGCTGAAATTTGGCATGTGAGGTCTTAGCAATGAAAATCATTATCGTTTACTTTTTGCAGCAAACTACGAATAAAGGTCTGTGAAATGTATTTATTAAAGCAGAAACTCAGCAAAATAGCTCAGTTTTTGATTATATTTATGTTGCCAGCATGGATCTGAATACTTAAAACCCCCATCTAAACGGTCCCAAAATTACAACTTGGAATGAGTGACCATGGAAACAGCGATCATGTCTCCGCTGCTTTCCGAATGGATTGGAAACAGCTTGAGTCAAGCTTACTGTGGACAAAGGGAAATTTGCCAGTACGTAGACAATTAGAGTTCTCTTCCTGAGTACTTCAAATGCAGCCCTTCAAATGAGCTTTCAAAATGCCACAGTGTCTAAGTGTTTGCATGTCTCTTTGTAGCACCGGACAATTATGTAAGAGTCTCCAAAAGCTCAGAACTGTGAGAATGGTCTTTGTGCTGAAAATGCAAATGGTTGTTTCCAATGCATTTAGTGGACAATCTCCTCCTCATACTCTCGATGTAGCGAATTCTTAAACAAAGGTCCTTATTTCTTAACATTCTTTTCATTGTTTCAGGGAAGCTCAATGGGACAAACTGTTTCCCTCAAATAGATTTAGGGGGGAAAGCATTGCAGGGAGTCAGTTACAGAAATGAATGCCTTTTCAGTGTGTGGGCTTCGTCAGCTAGTTTCTTACTTGGTACTTTCAGATGAAGTTGGCCTTATCTTTCTGCATGTTCATTCAATTCTGCCTTTCCCTGGGCAGTTCTCTAGCTTCAGCTGAATTCTCTCTCTTGATCATGCACCTTAGCTCTAGTGCAACTTCAGCTTGCTAAAAATGTACATGGTCTTTCAATCTGTACACAGAGGTCTAACTGAGAGTGGAAATGTTTATGTTCATAATGTGTGTGTATATACACAGAGAGAGAGAAGTTAGATACAAAAATAAAATATTCTTGCTGGAAGATTGTAACCTAACACTACTTTATTTGTTAGACTTCAGAATTATAACACACAAGACCCTCAAAATAGAGAGCGACAAAGCAGGCTGCTCCGTAACAAAGAGAGATACAACTCACCCACCTTACTCAAGGCTGGCTGGCTGGCTGCCAGCAAACTGACTGTTGCTAGGCCTCGAATTACCAAAGAAGCCATTAAATTAAGGGGAGAATATGACTATTTGTTTTGTGTTATTTTCACATTACCTCACCTACTTATAAAGAGACTGACATTAAAAAGTGTTTGCATCTACAAACCTAAATTCTTACCTACGTTTTTAAGGAAATGCTATTGTGTGCATAAAAACTCTTGCTTGTTTATTTACTTTACTTAAGAATGTTCTTGTTTAAGCTTTGCAGGCATGGTATATATGTTATATAATATAAATTCTAACCAAAGTCCAAAATATATAATCCTTTAAAAACTTGTCCCAAAGTTAGGATACCTCCCACTATGCCCCTTTTCTCAGGGGGGGAAAAATACATTGAAAAAAGATGAATTATTATAGAATGACCTGGAGATCAACCAATTCAGGTTCTGGTGAATTAATGAACAATTCATTTCTACAGCAAAAAAAGTCACTTAATGTTTCCACCACTGGAATGCCATTGTTTTTAATAATAATGTTAAATACATCTTTTGTAGCTGGCAAAACGTGGACTAAATATTGTTATGATAAGCAGAACACTTGAAAAACTGCAGAAAGTAGCCACTGAAATTGGTAAGTGTTTAAATCTGAAGATAACTTTAAGATAACTCTCAGACAGTGTGGTCTAATAGAGCATTGGATTACGCAGACCTTGGATTCTGTCCCCAAATGTTTGCAGAATGTGAAATTCCTACAACTCAAATGAGTATAATCCCAACAGTGTGAACGTGAAATTCCTACAACTCAAATGAGTATAATCCCAGCAGAAAGATAGGAACACACTGTGAACACGTATTGATTAATTTTTGAACAGTCACATAAATGTGTGGCAGGGCATTGAACCCAGCTCTTCTTATTCCCACTCGTGTACTTTAATCACTGGAGAACATGTATGAATTGAGAAGGATTACTCCTCTGACACATTCAGCCCCACGAGTTACAGATGTGCCATGGCAGTTCCCAGAATTGGATTTCTACATGGGCAGAAACCCAGAACTAAAACACTGTGTATCTCAAGGGTTGGAATATAGAGTAAAATTGCCACCTTTTTAGACAGGAAAACCTTTAAAAAATCAAGATAAGATTTGAGAAAAAAGGAGATTGGGTTTGTGGAGTGCAGACCAGTAGAGTCATGGTCTCTATTAGGCTACTACAGGTTGAACCTCAAAAATCTGGGACTCTTTGGTCTGGAAACATCCAGATATTCCTGGACCAGAGAGTTCCAGCTGTCCAGGTTCAGAAGCACAGCCTAGGCGGGCTGATGAGTGAGGAGTGCAGCCCCAAACAGGCTGTTGTGGTGGGGGCACAGCTCCAGTGGGCCAGAGGCAGCAGGGCTGGGAGCCAGGAGTGCAACCCCAGCCACAGCTGGTGCAGTGGGGAAGGGGCACAGCCCCAGCCAGCATTGACATGGGGGGAGGGAGGAGGGAAGCAGGAGGAAAGGGGGCTAGAAGGCAGGAAACACAGTACCAGTCGGGAGCAGAGCCTACAGCCAGGTAGAGAGCCTTGATGTTCCCTGGTCCAACAAACTAAATTGTTTGGGACCACCTAGGTCCCTAGGATGCTGGACTAGGGAGGTCCCACCTATCCTCCTGTCTGGAGAAAAAAAGATCAGAAAATACCAGACATTGTAGGTGTCTGGTATTTTCTGAATTTTTTTACCGGACAGGAGGTGAAAATGCTGGACTGTCCGGGTGAATACCGGACACCTGGCAACCCTACATGGGAGGAGGTTCAGGATGCAAACACTGGGCAGCCCTTACCTCAGGCAGCTCCCAGGAAGCAGCAATATGTCCCTCTGGGTCCTAGGCAGAGGTGTGGTCGGGGATTCCCCTTTTCTGGAAGATCCCTTATTCCCATTTGAAAGGAATAGGAATAAGGCCCAGTTCCCAGCCAATGGCGGCACCCCTATGGCCACTTCTGAACTGGCTGGACATGCCAGCTGGTTCCCAAGAGCTGCGCAGAACCTTCCAGGGAGCCTGTCTTCCCTGCTGTGGCCAGCCAGCCTTTTAGGGGATCCTTCAGCAGTGCTGACTAGAATTACCAGGGTCCCTTTTTGAAACACCAAGCATCCAGCAAACATAATGCCACAGTGGAAAGCAGGCTGCGTCCATGCTGTGGTGTGCAGCTGTTTGTGGCTGTGGAGGAGGGGAGATCAAGCCCTAAAACTAACGCTATGTTTACACTATGAACCACTGGACAGCTGTGTCTAATGGATAGCTAGACATCCCATAGGGTTGCCAACTTGCTAATTGCACAAAACTGAAACCCTTGCCCTGCTCCATCTCTTCTCTGAGGCCCCACTCTTGCTCACTGTATCTTTCCCCTCTTAATCATTTGCTCTCACTCATTTTCAGTGGGCTGGGGCAGAGGGTTGGGTTGCAGTAGGCAGTAAGGCCTTTGGCCTCTGGATACAGCTGGGGATGAAAGATCTGGAGTATAGGAGAGGGCTTATGGCTGGGATAGATTTGGGGGAAAACACCCCCCCCCCCCAAAAACAAACAAACACAGGGAAAAAATTCTGTTGAAGGGGAAAAAAAGGGGGGGGGGGACCAAAGTTGTTGAGCAAAAAAAAAAAAGACACTCATACTTATTCAACAAAAACAAAAAAAAAATTAATATAAAACAGCATTAAAACAGCATGTCCCCTTTAAGAGTGAGTGCAGGGATAGGAACAGGGGAGCGGTTGAGCACTAAGATCCAGGAGAGTGATTGCTTCCCCTTGGTCTTTTTGCTGGCAGCCATTTTGTGCCAGCAGCCTTGCAGAACCAGGTAAGCATGGGGGCTGGTGTTGGGGGGCTGCGGCTA